AATGTAAGCTTACTCTCTGTTCGCAGTCCAATGTGGCCATGTTCCAGGTGTAACGTAGCAGCATTGTTTTGGTTATTGATGTCTAATTTATTCTTGCCTTCATGTAAGTAAAACTTTCATATATTTTGATCAGGCTCACCACGGTGAAACCTGACTGAAATGCAAAGCATTTTTCATTTCAATCATCAACTTGTAGACGCACGACGAAAAGAAAACTGTTAACAAGACATGCAGCATCTGAATTAAACCGTAGCAACTGAAGAGGTTCAGGAAGTAAGCTTTCTGAAGACAAACTAAAGACAGAAAGGCTTAACCCCACAACTGAATACCAGCTGCACTTAAGAACCTTAGAAAGGTTTGGTGATATCGGATTATACCATCCAGGCATCGACTCCAAACGAATTCTCAAAAAATACAAATCTAAAATACTATAGAGTTAGACTTATTTGAGTCCCTAAAATGAGGCTTCTGTATATAAGAGGGGTATAAATGTTGACACTCTGCTGGTTTCTCTTTTTCCAAAACCAAATAAAATCTCTCATGTCATCCACCTGAAGAGCTACTTTCACGGTCATTCAGTAGGTTCATTTGTCCGCGAGACCATTTTGAGTTTCACTCTCGTGTCATTTGCACCACAGCAGTCCCGTCATGTCTTAAGTCAGTGAACGTGGCCGGACCTCACTCTAACCCAATTACAGAGCAATTAACGGCACGTTGAAAGAGGTCATTTCCATTTGGATGGACTGGTGTGGGAGTTGTCCTCCCCTTCCCTGCTGTGTCTACATGGAATAAAAAGTGGGACCGTGCCCAGTGGCTCCAACTGACAAAAGACTCATCCAACATCATCAGTTTCCCCCTTTGTGTCTGCCGTCCTCTGCTGTGTTCCCTAAACATGCTTAGAGGGTGTCAGTAGGTTGTTCAAATATAATTAGTAGAGACAAACAAGGGCTGGAAGACCTCTGGCTCATTGTGATATTAATGAGTTGGACATAATGAGGGTTATCTATGAATGCCATCTTTAATAGGGTGATTATGAATTGTCCAATAGTAATTCCGCAATCCTGCTATTTTTGTATGAATGCTCCTCTGTGGTGGAGAAATAGTCATTTGAAGTTACAGGGGGAGACACTCCTGAGTTTTTTCTCCCTGTCATTGCCGCTTGGCTCGAGTCTCGCTCCGGTCCGAGATCCAAAATTAACATCCCTTCTTTACTCAATTCTTACCCCATTTTAAAGACACATAATTGACATGAGCAAACTGTAATTACTCCCGACTCTGATTCCATTGAGCATGTTAGATGCCTAAAGGGCCTCTTTTGCTCCCGCATGATCCCCCCCCCCTCTCTTCACCACACACTGTGCTCATGTGGTCTCTGCTGAGCTGGAGTGCAGATGTGCTTTAGAGTTTGGTAATCACCAGCTTGGGGCTTCTCACCGCTCGGCCCCGGTCTTTAACAGCATGTAAGCACTTACTCATTTGCCTCGTAATATTATGGTAGGGAGCCTTGAAAGAGACTAGTTTATACAGAGACATCTTAAAGCTGCCGTCTTCCCCTGGCAAGAATCCGATAGGCAGCTAAAAGAGCAGCGCTGTTTAAGTAGCTGGTATTGAGTTTCCTCAAAGAAACTGAATAGTTTTTTAAATTTTTATTTTCGTGATCGGGCGTGACCCGGTTCAGCCTACGAGTGACGGCAAGGATGTAAGACAGTGAGGGCCTGACGACTGTGTGAATCTGCATAGATGCGAGAGGGAGGAAGTAAAGTGGTGTTTAGCATGTGAGGGTTCATCCCTTTAATCTAGACAAGTCTTACAAGTGTTAATGCGGAGAGGTAACTGGAGAGATGACTGGCTTTCCTATCCCTGCTCTTTGATACAGGCGCCTGCAAGACTATATACAGATCATGTGATTATAGAATGTATGGAGCGGCACCTGAATCTATGAAACAGGAGAGACTCTATTTACATCGAGTCTCTCCTGTTTTGTTGTAATGCAGCCTGTAATTTTAAATTGGAATGTTTCGGGAATTTTTGTTAATCTTATAGACAAAACAGTACTTAGAGGTAAGTAAGTACTGTTTAGTTTAGTAGTGTGTGCAAAAGCATTTTGTCTCAAAGATCTGAATGTATATATGTACAGTATATGTGTATATCTATCTATCTATCTATCTATCTATCTATCTATCTATCTATCTAT